GTTTGTGATTAAATCAATATATATTTAAATCATGAACATTTCTCAGGATCCGCCCCTGTCTAGCTGCAGTGTAAATTGTAATGTACAGACATATAATGTACAGTCGTCTCCTGCCCCCTGTAGGTGAGTTGTAAACTTGCAACGGCTGTGTCTAACTACTGCATCATGGCCAACTACAGCTGGCTGCTGGCTGAGGGCCACTACCTGTACAGCCTGGTCAGTGTCTCACTGTTTTCCCGGAGGAGACAGTTGTTGTGGTACATCATCTTCGGCTGGGGTACGACCTGGACTAGCTCTCCAAGTGCTCTGGAAATCATGCCAGCTATTAACACAGCCATTTACTACCTCTTTTACTTTCCCGTCTTATTCAAAGCACATTTTATTTATAATACAATGAAGTTGAGTTTATTAAACTGTAGAGTCATCACACTAAAAACAAACAGAAACCTAACATTTCTCTTTTTTCCAGGTTCCCCAATGATTATTATGATTGGCTGGACTTCTGCCAGGTACCTTCATGAAGATGAAGGGTAGGATCAATGTATAATAATCTATACAGCACATAAACACTAAGTTTATGGAACTTGCTGTTGAGCCAGAAGGCTTTGTATGACTCAGCAAGAGTGATGTAAGTATCATTTAAAAATTTTAATGGCAGGATAGTCAGGTAGTGGCGGATGAAGAGAATCCTGTGTATTTAGTTTTATCTGTATTTAAAACAGGTCTATGTTTAGCAAGTGATGATTGGAAAACGCCGGTCAAGTTGTCAAGATGAGCTTGAGCTGGTTTGTCATCTCATAGGAGGGCCACTTCAGTGTTTATAAGTGCTACAAGAAAGCGCAATATACTGAAAATATCTAAATAAGAAAAAAGCAGTTTCACGCACAGGTTTGGAAGGCACCTTTAACCTGTTTTTAATTTAATTGTATATGAAAGGGTAGTTTAACTTTAAATTATATTAAACAACTAGATCTGTTCCGCACCATCAGCTGCAACAGTCTAAAGCCTGGTTTATACTGCCTGCTTCTGCAATGCGTGTGCATGTGCATGTGCGTAACATCTTGCTTTTTATTTCGGCATTATTCGGCGACCATGTTAACAGATTAGAGCAGCCACACTGCCCATGAGTCGGGTTCAGCTGTCCATATACTTTGTGTGTCTACATAGTCTTGGTGTATTAAATGTGGTAATGTGCTGACCAGTATGTCTGGCTTGTTTTTAATTTCCCCCCTCTCTAGCTGCTGGGAGACAAGCAGGAGTCAGTGGATCTGGTTGATTCTCAGAGTTCCTGTTCTGTTCTGCATTATAGTCAGTGATCGTAATCTTTTTTAACCTTTCTTTATCACGCAGTGAAATGTCATGATCTAGAATACAAATGATTTTTTTTATTTTGGCAGTAATAGCACAGTTCATCACAAGTAGCAAAACCAGAGGCTCTAATCCATGTGTTTTCCAGGTCAACTTGTTATTCTTCCTGTGTATTATAAGAATACTGGTAGCCAAGCTAAGGAAACCAGACATGCCTGGCAGTGAGTTCAAACACTACAGGTGAGTAATCTGTTCAGCTACAAATCATAAATATCTGTCATAATAGCTTCTCATATAATGCTACTGGATACAGAGAGACTCTTTTGCGAAACAATGGGAGCAAATTTCATTCCTGACCTCACTGCTAACAGGTTAATGCTAATGGTTTACAGCTAATCAAGCTAATTTCCCAATGACATTTGACAAATTTTGTCAGAGTTAGACTGAACACACATGGTTAATTACATTGTTTAAAACTACCAGGTGGAACAATGTCACCCCTACTTACCAACAGGGCTTTTCCTTTAGCACTTTTGGCCACACTGACTTCCATTTCCATTATCAGTTTAAAGGCGTCAAGTTTATAGTCAAATAATTTACAACAATGTAGATAAATAATAATTGAATGTATCATCAGAGTAAAATGTGTCAATATCTGAACTCCTGTCTTATGTACTACTGTCAAGATATCCTGAAAGATTCAGCAAATATGACAAAAAGTTATTTCTATAAAAGATACCTACTGCAGCTTTGATGGTGGTGTAATGCTCATATAGTCGAAATTCAGTCAGTTCAGCTTTAAGAGAAGTTAATAATGCTACTTCTGTACAAAGCCACAAGTCAGATTAAATATTTAACTCATTGTGATGTCACAAACAAGAGGTTTTCATAAGCCACTTCCCCTTCTATAACTTACACACCGTACATTTCTTAAACAGGAAACTTGCCAAGTCATCGTTCCTGTTGGTGTCACTCTTTGGCTTACACTACATCCTCTTTGCTTTTCTTCCACACAACGTCAATGACAGGACCTATGAAATCTGGAACTTCATTGAGCTGGCTTTTGCCTCCACTCAGGTACAGTAAAGCTTACTGTAAGTTACTATGCAACTACCATGGGTGTTTCTACACTGTAAATGAGTGAGCTGTTCCTGGAATGTCAGCGGCTGCAATTCTTAATCAGCAGAATGATAGAAAAATGTACTCCTTGTCAACTCCATGAAGCACTATTGCCACAACCCTAATTGTATCTGAGAGACTGGAACAGAAAGTTGCTAAAAAATACATTGTCAGCAAACTTTCCTTGAAAACATCATGGTCATAGCAATACCTAATGTTTCTGTATGTGCCGTTTCAGGGATTTGTTGTAGCTGTTCTGTACTGTTTCCTGAATGGAAAGGTAAGACTTTATTTTTCCATTTCCCAAAATGTACTTATTCATCCCTACACGCAAGCTCCAGATGCTTACTATACAACATTACTTTGACATGTAAGAGTACACAACTACAATTTTTGACAGTTTAAGGTGGACCTATTGTGCTCATTTCCAGCTCAATATTCTTAGTCTGAGACTCCATTAGAGTCACTTTGCAAGTGCATTTATGTTATACTCCTTCAAGCAGCTCCTCAAAACACTTAAAGGGTTTGCCCTGACTCCTGAGCAGACCAGTCCATAGCAGACAGACTGAGGGGGTCCCTGTACTTTATGGGCGTTCTCAGTTGTGTTGTACAAAAAGAGGCTGGAAAGATTGCATTCAGAGCAGTCTGAATTCTGAGCTTTTTGCTCACAGGGATTACTTTTTACAGAAGTTATCTCAGGACACTTTTCAAAATGAAGCAGGTCTAGACCTTACTCCTTATAAAATTATTTATAGAGACCCATTAGTTCCCACCATGAGCAAGCACTTGGCAGCAAGGAAAACTTCCTTTGAAGAGGCAGAAACCTCGGACAGACCCCGGCTGTATTATAGTAATAATATTAACTGTAGTAATAATAATAATAATAATAATAATAATAATAATAACTAAGACTAACTGTAGTATTTATTGAAGATTCATCGTTAACATGAACA